AGTACTAGCACTACCACTAGTACTAGTACTAGTACTAGTGCTAGTGCTAGTGCTAGTGCTAGCACTAGCGCTAGTGCTAGTACTACTACTACTACTACTACTACTACTACGACTACTACTACTAGTAGTAGTAGTACTACTACTACTACTACTGCTACTACTACTACTGCTACTACTACTACTACTACCACTACTACTACTACTACTACTACTACCACTGCTGTGGATGGAGGAAATCTTGCACCGCTTGTAAGACACGTGAAGGTGCTTCACCCCGCGCCCCCTCTTCTTAACATTGTAGAGAACACGAGCTTTACAACCTCGTTCCAATGACACACATCTTGCACCGCCCCAAGAGATCCGTCGTCAATGTTAAACAAGGGGGTGCGGGGTTGGTGCTTGGAGGGTGTTCGAGTCAGTGTATGTAGGTGGTGCAAGAGTTCCTCCATCCACCGTACTACTACTACTACTACTACTACTACTACTACTACTACTACTGCTACTGCTACTACTACTACTACTACTACTACTACCCCGACAACTCTTCAGAGTGCTGCCAGCACGACGACTACTGCTTTAGTGATACCGCGAGCACTAACCGTTGACAACGGAGTCTCTTTGTTGCTACGACATACATGCCTGGATGCAAGCATGCATAATCGCATGCGTGTGTACACACCCACGTACATGCCGGTGTCATGCATGCGAGGCTATTCCAAATGGCGCCATCATCAACAAGCTGCATCTTGCCTGCAGTTTTGCACATCAGGGACGCGTGCTGCTACTTCTGTCGCGAGAGGCCGAACAGACAAGTGCTGTGTGTGCCAGGAACAAGGCTCTTGGTGTTCGTCTGCCGAAGGCCAAGTAGAGGCGCTTTTTGTCAGGAGCTTAGCTGGGGGCATGTTCTCAAATCTCCGAGCCTGTAGGTTCAAGGCAGGCTGTACATGGGTGTCAGTGTTCTTGACGAATGTAAATGCAGTGGTACTAGTCGCAGTGCTTATACTACGAGCTGTGTCAGGTGTATGTGCAGTTCCAGTCTCCCTACGGTTACGACAGTTCACATCACAACTGCACAACTTAAGGTGCTGGTCCTAACTTTCCTACGTGTTATGATCGCGGCAGCAGCAGCTTGCCCGAATGCTTTTGCACGATGTTGGGGCTCGTGTCTAGGCATTGCCAGCTTTCAACAGCTCCTCAGTGGCTTGACCTCTCAGTCTTAAATCTGTTCGGATGCCTAGTCTGCTAGGGTGCTTGGGGTGCTGGCAGTATGAGCATCTGCAAATAAACCGTTTAATGCAAACTATTTTTCGTTTGCACCAAATATTTTCGACAGTCTTAAATGGCCGTGCATAACATACAAGAAAGACCCTGCACCTGCAGCCTTCAAAACCCCAAGGACCCGACCTGATCAACATACCCCGAAGAGCGAGCAGCCCGGTAAAGCAGCAGTCTAAAGCTTTGATCCCAGAGACTCCAATATCCCTTAATTAAGGAATATAGCCTTAAATCATATTAGGGATCCCCTACTATAACTTAAGGTATATTCCTTAATTAAGGGATATTGGAGTCTCTAGGAAGCTTTGATTGCTAATGGCTAAGGCTCAGGACTCTGGCTACAGTGCAGTAGTATAGAAGTCTGAAAATGTAGAAACTGCACCCTCTCATAGTCCCTCCATTTCTTTATTTATTTATATATATATATATATTTATACACACATGTTGCATTCTGCCCCTCAAAACAGTAACGCAAGTTGTGATCGTTTTGGCCCCTACATTGCCATCACTAAGTCAGAAAGTCGCTGCACTCGTCCCAGGCCCTATGGTCTCACCTCAAACCAGGACGGCATTGACTGCTCAAGAGCTATGGAAGGGATGTCCAGGGTTCAGATTAGGTTAAGGTCACATCATAGGGACCCTTCGGGGGGTAGGGGGGAGGGGGTTAGGGGACTACACCACCTTAAAAAGGGGCCTTATTAGGCCCTTATCACGGGTATTCAGGCCGCCTACCCCCCCTCCCTCAAGGGGTCCCTATGATTACATGGCTTTCGGAAGATTGGAAGGTTTGAGGGGCAATTGGGAAGTTCTATAGGGGTGTAAAGTAGGGGCCTAAATAATTACTAATACTATTTTGGGGTACCGTATTATAGATATAGTATAATGGGCCCCAACACCCTATTCTAAGTATTAAGGCCCCTATGTTACATCAGGGTCTCCAGTTTGATTACGGATGCCTCAGACAGGTGCACGATCGTCCACTTGCTGCTCTGGCCAGTCAGTACCCTATAGGACGCAGCTTCTAGGGCTTGGGTTGTGCAAGCTGCAGCCTGACAAGGTGTAATTATAACTATTGGCCCTGGCGAAGAGATTCACGGTTTTTTGCAAGGCTTGCCCTAAACCCGAAACCCACGAACAGGCTTTCATTGAGATGAGCATCTTAATTGGCGTTCTCCAGCAAGTTTAGCAACGGCGAACCCTAAACCCTAAACTCTAAACCCTAAACCCGAAACCCTAAGCCCTAAACCGCTACCTACTTGGTCCTCTGAGTTGTCGAGCAGGCCTGGATGGTCAGGCGTGTAGTCTTCTGAAGTGCCCGTACTCATAGGCCCCATGGGGCGAGCTCCCATAGGGTTTAGGGTTTAGGGGTTTAGGATTTAGGGTTTGAGGGTTTAGGATTTAGGATTTAGGGTTTAGGGTTTAGGGCCCATAGTAGTTCCTTTTTGGGGTTCATATTTAGAATCCTATTCGGGAATCCCCAAAAAGGAACTACTATGGGGCTTATGGGTAGCAAGTATAAACCCTGGAGTTTAGAACCGAAGCTGGCAGTTCCAGCACTTGACATCCTAAACCGAAAGCGTACACCCTCTGCCGCAGCTCAAAGCAACCTTGAGCTGAACCCCTAATGACAATCCGCCCGAGCAAACACTGCAGACTAGAATAGCTAGGGTAGTAGTAGTCGTACCAGTGGTTGTGGTGGTGGTGAGTATTTCAAGTTCAAAGGCAAAGGCAATATCAACAGTTGTATTAAAGATTCCACCCGCGGCAAGGCCCCTGGGCTTGGTCTCAGATCGCCAGGGCATCTGGCAGAGTGATGGCGGTGGTTTAGATTCAAGATATAATTAGGGCTTAGTATGGTGAAGGGTGCCATTAACAGTTCTTGAGGTTTAAGTATAAAGTTTGGTGGTTTTGAAGCCGTTGCTGTCTACGCTGGCTTGGGTGACCGCCCTCAGCTTACACCAAGAGGAATGTCGCAACGGTTTTAGGCTTTGGGAGAAGGACCTGGGCTGCGAGCATTAAGGAAACATACGTTGTAGTTGCAATAACAGCAACAGGAGTAGGAGTAGCAGTAGCAGTAGCGGTAGCAGTGGTGAAGGGGCAGGGGAGAGGACGAGCAGTTGTTTAGTGGGTCGCAGTCGTAATCTCAGGTTCGTCCTCGCTTCTGGCGAATCGAGAACAGAAGCTTGGAACCCCTTGGAGAAGAGTCTTTGTGTAGGGGGGTAAATAATTACCAATATTATTTTGGGTGTTCCTTGGTATAGCTATAGTAGAATGGATCCTAAAACCCTTTTCCAATTATTAAGGCCCCTATATTAGAGTAAGGGGCCTGGATTCTTCGATGGCGACATGACGGCAACTTGTAATTTGCAACTCCCGCTTGCCCAATGAGCAAAGCTTGTCGATCCATAGGAGCACCCTTCCGTAGCTGAGTATTGTTTATGTAGGGTAAAATAGGGGCCTTAATAATTACCTATACTATTTTAATTTTGGGGGTTCCTTATTAACTATAGTATAATATACCCCAAAACCCTATTCTAATCTTTGAGGTTTCTACATTCAGGGGTTTCGTTTAGGGTTTAGATTTTAGGGTTCAGAGCTGTCGGTTTCTGTAATCCTACCATCGTCAAACTGCAGGGCCTCAGAGCTTACGCAATGCCACGGTTTAGGGTTAAGGGTTTAGGGTTTAGGGTTTAGGGTTTAGGGTTTAGGGTTTAGGGTTTAGGGTTTAGGGGCTAACTGCCCCCGAAAGTCTCGAACTAGAAGAAGAGGGGTTTATGCTGTATGAAAGCTGTACCTCTTACCTGACTATTATTGCATCCTACTCCTAAATATGCAGACCCCTAGATTCTCATTTTGCTGTATGGGCGGCATGGAAAGGACAGCAGCGACTTTCCACCAAGCAGCGTGCCTCTATCCTTTGCTAGCGAAAGCACTTTCTGCCTTGCCTGAAAGTGCTACTGCCGAGAGCAGCAGAGTTGGGTGGCAATTTTAGCATGACAGGCTGCCGTACTGTTGCCACTACTACCACGACGATGGCTACTACAACAGCAACTACGAGTATTACTGTTGCTGTGGCGACCACGTCACTACCCCACAGGAAGAGTCTTCATCATACAGCCAACAACTCTAGAATACTTCAATTCTTGTTCTTTCTAATACTCAGAATGCAGCTGCCAATTGGCCAGAAAGCTTCTAGGGTCCCGAGGCTTTTCTGTTGGGGTTAGGGGCGGATGCTGCGCTGTATGTTGCGGCAACCTTCATACCTTTATCACCTTTTATGTCTTTGATTGCATCATGTGATGATGCCCCATGCAATCCAACTCTGCGTCGGACCCCTGCAGTGCAGGCGCATGCCAACCATTGGCCCTAATCACTACATGTAAGCCGTTTGGGATACATGGGTCCAGAGAACGAGGGGGTAGGGAAAACTCGTAATGCTAGAGCTTTTGAGGTGTAGGGTTTGGGGATTCGCATCCCCATCTCTTCCATCTCCTTCACGAGGGCTATCGATTCTGTGCCCTGCACGACTCCTCCACGCACCGCCTGCCGGGAACTCGGCATTGCGTGGGCCAAGGGGCTTGAAGCTCTACTTGGAGGATCATGGGACTTAGTAACTAGGGTTATAAATAAATAAGGTAACTATAGTTATAACCCCAATTAGGGTACTTATGACCTTTCTTACTAAGTCCCATGATCCTCCAAGTAAGTCGCGGTTTTAAAGCCTTGAAGCCCCACAAAAAGCCATTCGGGAGAGGTTGTGAATAACGGTTTAGGGTTTAGGGTTTAGGGTTTAGGAGCCTGAAGAATGGCCAAGACTATTCCGTGCGTTCCTATGAAACTTATAGAAAATCCAGGACCTATACCCTCAGACAGGGGTATATGGTCCCATATTACAGGTATTTAGGGTTTAATTGCCCTAAACCCTCAACCCTAAACCCTTTAATAGAGGGTAGATGGAGGGTCCAAGTGTTTCTTTTACCCAAAGCCCTGTTCAAATCATTAAGGCCCCTATTTTGCCCAAGTTAGTTGATTCTGAAAACGGGAGGCGATGTGTGATTTGGCCTTGGTAAGCATCCTAAACCCTAAACCCTAAAATATGCAGGCTTCTTCGTCACACTTTACTAAAGGCTCTAGGAGTGTGGGTAGGGGTTTAGGGTTTAGGGTTTAGGGTTTAGGGTTTCGATTTAGGGATTAGGGTTTGGGGTTGTAGTTTAGGTTTTAGGGTTTGAACACATCAGAATCCTCTTTCGGATGTTCTAATGGCGCACAGTCCTGGGAAAACTAACTCGGGGAGCCCTGGTTTGAGAACAGCTGGCACGTAGTGGGTTAGGGTTTAGGGTTTAGGGTTTATGTGGTTTGTGGTTTAGGGTGGTTTGTGGTTTAGGGGCTGTGCAAATATGTGCATGTACAGATACAAAAAGAAGCCACCAAGTAAAAAGAGTAGTGACGGGTTAAAACCGTATACACTGGATGTATCTATACACGTATTTTCAGACTTCTAGTTGAGGGTTTGCCACGACTTTTAGGGGTCATCCATTTCTGTTTTGTGGATGGATCAGGGCTGCTGGGGCTGTTAGAGTTTAGGCCCTGCGT